AGAGAACACCTACACGGATAATCCTCTGCCGCTGCAATGCACTAGGTAAGCATCACGAAAGAAATAAAAAAATAAAAAGAAGCAACTTAATATGCAATTTTTACATTTAGAAAATTTCCCTCCATTTGTACAAATACAAAAAGGATTTTGAATTTCTGCTGATTGCACCAACGCTTTGAAATTGTCTGGATGAAGCTTGAATTTCAGAGAGTTCCAGTTAGCCCAGGCGATGCTTTTTGCCATCGAGGAGATCAACAACAGCTCAGACCTGCTGCCGGGCATCTCTCTGGGCTACAAAATATACGACACTTGTGGATCCATCGCAAGGAGTGTGAGAGTTGCACTGTCCCTGGTTAACAGTAATGAAATGGTGGCTTCGCCTGCAGAAGAATGCACAAGACCTGCACAGGTTCAGGCCATAATGGGGGAAACGTCTTCCTCTCCTTGCGCGGCAATAGCCACCGTCATGGGTCCATTTCATATCCCACTGGTGGGTATAGATTCTATAAATTTCAGCAAAAAAAGGTTTATTTGCAGTCTTTTACTATTATTATTACTTTTTGTTGAGGACAAACACGTCTGTTTCTTCTAATCAAAATATACAACCAAACTTTGCTTTTAGATCAGCCACTTTGCCACGTGTGCTTGTCTCAGCGATAAAATCAAGTACCCGTCGTTTCTCAGAACAATCCCCAGCGACTATTACCAGAGCAGAGCTCTGGCGCACCTGGTGCAGCACTTTGGTTGGACTTGGGTCGGAGCCGTGAGGTCAAATGAAGATTATGGAAACAATGGGATGGCTACGTTCATTGAAACTGCGCAGCATCTGGGCATCTGTGTGGAATATTCTGTCTCTTTCTTTAGAACGGATCCATCGGAGAAGATACAAAAAATAATAGACATTATCAAAGCTTCTACTTCCAAAGTGATTGTCACTTTCCTCTCCCACATGGATTTGGATGTGTTGTTGCGCGAGTTGTCGGGCCACAACTTGACCGGCTACCAGTGGGTGGGGACCGAGGCTTGGATATTTGATTCTCAAACCGCTGAAGGTGACGTCAACCATATTCTGGACGGAGCGATAGGCCTTTCCATTCCCCAGGCATACGTGACGGGACTGAGGGAGTTCATGCTGGACGTGAGGCCTCTGAATTCGTCCAACGCAGACTTGTTTACCGAGTTCTGGGAGGCGTTGTTCAGCTGCAAGTTCAAACTATCCAAATCAACAGAGATCCAGAGAGGATGCACCGGAGAGGAAGACATAAGCGGAGTGGAGAACAGCTTCACTGACATGTCACTCATGCCTATTTTTAACAATGTCTATAAGGGAGTGTATGCAGTGGCTCACGCTCTGCACAACATCCTGGGCTGTAACAAAACGTGCAACAAAAATAAGCAGCTAGATCCGTTCACGGTGAGGTGTCAATGACAAATTCTTTTGTTTTTTGTTTTTTTGCTACAAGATCTGCAGATGTCTTAGTCAGACTGCTAACTTTGATACGACGTGTCTTTTCAGATTTTACAGCACATACAAAGGAGTAATTTCACTACAAAGGAAGGGGATCGGGTTTTCTTTAACGAAAATGGAGACCCTGCTGCGAAGTACGAAATTATAAACTGGCAGCCAGGAGAAAATGGCATCGTGAACTTTGTCACGGTCGGTCTTTATGACGCAACGTTGCCGGCCAACAAACAAATGAATCTGCAAAATAAGTCCATCATTTGGACACAAAATTCACCAAAGGTAAGAAATGCAATAGAGATATCTTTTTACAGATGCAAAATGTAAAGTTAAAACTCTTTTCCTCTGTTTGATTGAGCAGCTTCCTGTTTTTCAGGTCCCCGTGTCGGTTTGCAGTGAGACGTGTCCCCCAGGAACACGGAAGGTCCTCCGGAAAGGGAAGCCTGTGTGCTGCTACGACTGCATAAGTTGTGCAGAAGGAGAAATCAGCAACAGCGCAGGTTTAGTAGTATTTACACAACCCTCTGAACAAAAACAAATGCAAAAATACACTGTGAATGCCGCACATGAACAGCTTTAATAGGCAGTGACATGACCTGATCTGACCTCTGATGCATTTTTGATTATGACACAATAAGCGTAAGCTCATTTTCAGCCAATAAGACCACACCGAGTGGCTTTGTTGGTGTTTTTTTAATTCTTTAATTTTTTTAAACATTTCTCTTAGCTTCCTGTTATCTAGCATTCAGTCATCAGCACTGAGTGTGAATTACTTGTGAAGAACGCACACAGACAGATACATGATCAAGGCCTGTTTTGAGGAAACTGCAAATGGAGAGAAATGTTTGCTTCAGGTTTTAGTTAAAAAAAAGAGAGACAGCTTCTAAAAGTAACTTTAGCCTACCTCTGGTTCACATTTTCTCCTCACAATACCTTTGAAATATCCACTGAATTAAAATGAGATTTCTATTGAAATAGAGGGGTTTTACACGGAGTTTGAAAATGTTTTACAAGTAAAACTCTGTCGTGTGGAAGATGCACTTATGCAGCCCACATTTAATCTCATAACCCCACAAAAAAAAAAAAAAAAAAAATCAAGAAAGTCCAACTCAGCACCTTCAGAAATCATCTGAAAAGACTCAGTGCAAGCTGAGGAGGACTGAAAGAAAGCTGTAGCAAGTCCTGTTCATAGATCACCTCAAGTCATAAATATGACAGAGAAAACATAAAGGCAAATCTACAATAGTTTGGCTTCGCTCAATTTTCAGATTACAAACTGACAGATGCTCCCCATCCATGGATGGGGATATTGGAGGAAAATAAGTTGTAGTTTTGTGCTTGTAGTAGGACAAAATGTGGAACAATGTTTTTTAATGAAACTGCATGGAGCATGACTAGCCGTGGCAACAGAGGGTATAAAAGACGTATAACCAGCCCATCTTTAATCAACAGTAGAACAACTTGTATCAAGTAGCCATATTGTTAAATCAAGATAAAAAAAAAACCTAAAAAGACAAAAAAACAGATAAATCTAAATCTCTGGTTTAACACTCTTTTTGTTCTGACTTTCCAGACGCTGTCACCTGTGTGAGATGCCCCCCTGAATCCTGGTCAAATGACAGAAGAGACATCTGTGTAAAGAAAGAAGCTGAATTTCTGTCTTACGATGAAATTATGGGAATATTGCTCACAGCCGCCTCCTTGTTCGGAGCATGCGTAACTTCTTTCGTAGCGTTTGTTTTCTACAGACACAGAAAAACTCCTCTGGTGAGGGCAAACAACTCTGAGCTGAGCTTCCTGCTGCTCTTCTCTTTGACCCTGTGTTTCCTCTGCTCTCTGACCTTCATCGGTCGACCGTCTGACTGGTCCTGCATGTTGCGGCACACGGCCTTCGGCATCACCTTCGTCCTCTGCATCTCCTGCGTCCTGGGCAAAACAATGGTGGTTTTAATGGCGTTCAAAGCCACACTTCCTGGGAGAAACGTGATGAAATGGTTTGGGCCTACGTAGCAGAGACTCAGTGTAATGAGCTTCACTCTGGTGCAGGTCATCATCTGCATCCTCTGGTTAACCATTTCCCCTCCTTTTCCGTCCAAGAACTTTAAAGAGTATAAGGATAAAATCATCTTGGAGTGTGCTCTGGGGTCGGCTGTGGGTTTCTGGGCTGTGCTTGGGTACATAGGACTTCTCGCCATGTTGTGTTTCATTTGTGCGTTTCTGGCTCGTAAGCTGCCCGATAACTTCAACGAAGCCAAATTCATCACCTTCAGCATGCTGATATTCTGCGCCGTGTGGATCACTTTCATCCCAGCGTACGTCAGCTCCCCCGGGAAGTTCAGCGTCGCCGTAGAAATCTTTGCAATCCTTGCCTCCACCTTTGGACTGCTGATTTGTATTTTTATTCCAAAATGCTACGTGATGCTACTGAAACCAGACAAAAACACTAAAAAACATATCATGGGGAAGGGAGCAGCAAAATGATTGCGAAGAAACTAAAAGCATTTATCAGTTTATATTATGTTCAGATTATATGCCAGCTTTTATTGTGGATTATCACTATTATTATTATTATTATTATTATTATTATGTGAAAATATTGTCCAGAAATGTATTTTCTCGGATCATGTATATAATATAAACTTCTTGCCCCATGTCGCTTGCTGTATTTGCACACGGTGCGTTTAACATTGCAATGTAGTTATTTTCAAAAGTTGAGAATAAAAATAAATGCTTCAAGCCTTTTACATTTTGTTGTGCTCATTATATGGAATATGCATCATCCATCAGATGGTAATTGTAAAACATATGAACTCTTTCATCCGGATTGCAATAGCTTATTTTTGGTGCTATGTTATTTGATTAAACCTTTCCGAGAAAGAAGTTATTTTGAAGATAAAATGTAAGCTGGAGGGTCGCGGGGTAGTTAATAACTTTCAAAATGAAGAAACTTACAAACACTGGGGGAAAAAAACAGCCCTGAAAGATATAAACAAAAATATGCTGTTAAAATATGAGACTTACAACATGTCGCCACCTCTGACTTCTTGCTCCACCTTATTGTACCACAGAGACAAACCATCACTGCTAGTCTAAGTGTTTATAAGGACCAACGCAGGTCTGCCGTTAGACCCACATTCATGAGATGACACTCGCCGACTTCACCTTTCCCGACAACATGGCGTCTGCACAGAGGTGGGCAGAGCATGGCTGCACATTTTTACAGTTGCTGCTCTTAGTGTCTTTCTCAAACACCCAGGTGCCGTTCTGCAGGCAGCTGGGGGACCTGGAGACCCCTCAGCTGTCCAAGGAAGGGGACATTATTTTGGGTGGAATCTTTTCTTTTCACAGCAGCTGGAAGAACAGAGAAAACACTTACACACGAAAGCCACTGCCACTGGAATGCATCAGGTAAATGGCACCACGGAAATCCATGTCGAACAAAATAAATATATACATGTATGTTTTCATCTTTGCTGCTGTCTTCCTGGTTCATGCCAACTCTGAACGTTGAATGTGAAGCTTGAATTTCAGAGAGTTCCAGTTTGCTCAGTCCATGCTTTTTGCCATCGAGGAGATAAACAACAGCACAGACCTGCTGCCGGGCATGACGCTCGGTTATGACATCTACGACACATGCGGCTCCATCGCCAGAAGTGTAAAAGTCGCACTTGCCTTGACAAATAACGACGGCGACGTGTCCCCAACCTCTGAGCGTCCTTGCATGAAAGCAGCACAAGTGCAGGGAATCATGGGAGAAACATCCTCCTCTCCAAGCACGGCGATAGCCACTGTCATCGGCCCATTTCATATCCCACTGGTGGGTAGCATTGATGGCATCTCTAATGTTTATGTTAAATACGTCGTCATCAGTTTTATAAATCATATTAATATGATTCGCCACATGTTTTGTAAAGTACGGGGAGCAAACAGTAGTTTTTGAATGTTTCATGGGTGTTTTATTTGTTGTTGTTTGTTTTGTCTTTTTTTTTTTGCAGATCAGCCACTTTGCCACATGTGCCTGTCTCAGTGATAAAACCAAGTATCCGTCCTTTCTAAGAACCGTACCCAGTGACTACTATCAGAGCAGAGCTCTGGCTCATCTGGTCAAACATTTCGGCTGGACTTGGGTCGGAGCCGTCAGAACCAACGACGACTACGGCAACAACGGCATGGCGACGTTCACAGAAACTGCAGAGCAGCTGGGCATCTGTCTGGAGTATTCTGTCTCTTTCTTCAGAACAGATCCTTTAGAGAAAATACAAAAGATCATTGAAATGATGAAGTCTTCCACCTCAAAGGTTATTGTCGCTTTCCTTTCCCACATGGACATGGACGTGCTTATGCACGAGCTGACGCCTCACAATTTGACCGGGCATCAGTGGGTCGGCAGCGAGTCCTGGATCTTTGACTCTCAGATCGCAGCAATGGATAAGAATCACATACTGGACGGAGCGATAGGCCTTTCCGTTCCTAAGGCGCAAGTCGGTGGACTCAGAGAGTTCATGTTTAATGTCGAGCCCCTGAATTCGTCCAATAGTGAGTTATTTACCGATTTCTGGGAGGCGTTGTTCAGCTGCAGGTTCGAGGAGTCAGAGTCGGCTGAATTTCAAAGCAGATGTACAGGGCATGAAGATCTCACAGAAGTGGAGAACAGCTTCACTGACATGTCACTCATGCCCATTTTTAACAACGTCTATAAGGGAGTGTATGCAGTGGCTCACGCTCTGCATGATATTCTCAGTTGCAATAAAACATGCAATGACAACGTGCGGCTCGACCCGACGACGGTGAGCATTTCATTTTTAATTTAGTTTGCGACGAAACTATAAGATCCTCAAGAAAATATACATCTTAAGATGTTCATCATGTCATCTTGATATTGTGTTAGATTTTACAGCACCTAAAGAAAATTCATTTTAAAACTAAGGAAGGTGATGAGGTGTATTTTAATGAGAACGGAGATCCAGCAGCAATTTACGAAATAATAAACTGGCAACCAGGAGAGAAGGGCATGGTGGATTTTGTCACTGTTGGTCTGTATGATGCATCATTAACTGCAGACAAAAAGCTCAATCTGTCAAACGATGCTCTAATTTGGACGCAGAAGTCATTGGAGGTATTCAGCCATGCGCTACGTTTTATAGCTTCAACCTAAAATGAATGGATTCGTCAGGGTCATTACGCAATGTTTGAGAAATTTGTTGTGCTGCTGTGTTTTCTATGCAGGTTCCTGTGTCAGTTTGCAGTGAGAAATGTCCACCAGGAACACGCAAAGTCCTGCAGAAAGGAAAACCTGTTTGCTGCCACGACTGTGTCAGATGTGCAGAAGGAGAAATAAGCAACGCCACAGGTTGAAAAACTTTGTAATGCAACGTTTTACATTTCCATGAAAAAACAATCTGTCGAGATGACATGTTTTGAGAAGGACAATACTGTCAAAACATTTCCAAAGTACATTAATGAAGAATCCTTAATAAGATTTACTTCACACCTAAAAAATAATATAAGAAATGGGAAGAAATATGAGAAGTTAGAAAGTTTTGTCAGTATTTTAATTTACATAAAAGTTAAAAAAGACATGTTATTACATCCAGTTGTTGTTTGACTTGTGTCACTTGCATAAAAAGTAGCTTAATTAAAATTGCAATCACGCTAAAAATACAGTTACTTTGATTAAAAGTTTCCAGTGCAAAATGTTATTCAAATAAAACTGAAAAATCTCTCATTAAACTTTTAACTTTCCTCTTATAGATTTCACAAAGGGAAAAAGAGATTGCTCTCAAACTATTTTACATTAAAGGTGAATGCTTGCAAATAATAATGTAACATGAAACACAACATGTCAGCAATCATAACACAAATGATGCTGGAAACTCGAGCGCAGTGAAACTTAATCGCTCTGTATTACATTCAAGATTTTATTCGTGTTTTTGATTTGGTTAATGAAAATGAACATTTTTTATTGGCATTTGCATGCACAGCAAGAGAACAAAAAAAGGTTCTCAGTATTGGAGAAAAATCTAGCAACACTAAATGTAAACAGGAAATTTTTTGTTCATAGGTCAGAAAATATAATGTATTTCTCAGAAAAAATGCAAAGGACCATAAGAAACTATTTTAGAAGTAAAGATCTAAGATTTTTAACAAACTTGCATGAGAAAAATATACTCTTCTTTGTAAATGTAACATTTTTGTGCATTCTGATTTCTGCAGATTCAGTCACCTGTGTGAGATGCCCCCTTGAAACCTGGTCAAATGAGGCAAGAGATGCCTGTGTAAAGAAGGAGGCCGTGTTTCTGTCATATGGGGAGATTATGGGAGCACTGCTCACTGCAGCGTCTCTGTTTGGAACATGCTTGACTGCCATTGTCACGGTCATCTTCTTCCGATACAGAAAAACTCCTCTGGTGAGGGCTAACAACTCTGAGCTGAGCTTCCTGCTGCTCTTCTCGCTGACTCTGTGCTTCCTCTGCTCTTTGACCTTCATCGGTGAACCCTCTGAGTGGTCCTGCATGCTGCGCCACACGGCGTTCGGCATCACCTTTGTGCTCTGCCTCTCCTGTGTCCTGGGGAAAACCATAGTGGTTTTGATGGCGTTCAAAGCCACCCTACCAGGAAGAGATGTGATGAAGTGGTTCGGACCGACACAGCAGAGACTCAGCGTTCTCACTTTCACTGCTGTGCAAGTGATCATCTGTATCCTCTGGTTGACGATTTCACCTCCTTTCCCATTTAGGAATTTCAAAGCAGTCAAAGACAAAATAATCTTGGAGTGTTCTCTGGGGTCGGCTGTGGGCTTCTGGTCGGTGCTCGGGTACATAGGACTCCTCGCTGCGTTGTGCTTCAGTTTGGCTTTTTTGGCTCGGAAACTTCCTGATAACTTCAACGAAGCCAAGTTCATCACGTTCAGCATGCTGATATTCTGCGCCGTGTGGATCACTTTCATCCCAGCGTACGTCAGCTCGCCTGGGAAGTTAAGCGTTGCAGTGGAAATTTTTGCCATTTTAGCCTCCACTTTTGGTTTGCTGTTTTGTATCTTCATCCCGAAATGTTACGTAATGCTACTAAAACCGGAAAAAAACACAAAAAAGAACATGATGGGGAAAGGTCAATCAAAGTTATTCTGACGACGAAAGGTAACAAAGTGATTAAATATTATCAAACAGAATATATTGTATATAGTCTGTATATTGAATGTTTTTTGTCTCTGTGTGTTATGAAATTGATTATGTATTGTCTGACATTAAACAGATGGTGTAAAGATTAAGTGGTCTCTTAGTGGTCTAATTTATACGCACAAAAAAATCTTCCTGTATAATTTCTATGTTTTTTTTGTCATTCTGTGTTGAAAAGTAAAACTTCTTTGCTACTGAGAAGAATTTGCTAGCTTCACCTCATGAGGTCTGTCGAGCTAAGTTCATTTCCTGCTTGTTTCAGAAAATGGGAAATTGTCTTCGTTCCAGTCTGTGGCAAATACCAGCTGAGGACTGTGAGTGTCAACAGGACGTGGCGGCGATCCTGACAGCGAAGACGTCGACGGGGACGTCTCGACTGCGAGGAAGGACTAATGGACCGGATTCTTACTTCACAAGAATTAAAAAAGAAATTGCCTTCTGCTTCGTTCTTGTGTCAAAAACATCAGCTGTGCCGTTTGTATCTGAACGTTACACAAACTGGTATGACAGAGGGTGTCTGCCACTTGGAATTGAGACACTTTTTGAGCTTTGACGTGTTTAACCGTGCAAATAAACGAGCAGATTTCCCACTTCTTGCCCAGTGATTCATTTAAATGTGAACAACTGCATTATGAGCAAAGAGGCAGTTTCACTGGGATGTGAAACAGATTAGGGTTTGTGCACTGAAGATGCTACATTTCACTGGTGCATAATGTTCTCTTCAGAATTAGGAATAAAACCATCAATAATAATAATAATAATTAAAAAAAAAGTTTCCTAAAAGAGGAGACAACAATTTTAAACACATAGAGCATAACAGAACATGTGAGGTTAGAATCACAAGTCACACCTCTGTCCACTCGCCCCACCTTTCAGCTCCAGAGACATAATATTACGTCCTGTGTTGCTCCAAACTGCATAAATATCAGTGTGAGCCTGTCAGTGCGGGGACGTGCGATGTTGTTGAGGGTTTGACTCAACATGACGTTCATACAGAGGTGGCCGGAGCAGGGCTGGACGCTGCTGCACCTGTTCTTGGTGACGTCGTTCTCCCAGGCGGAGGAGCAGGGATGCAGACTGAAAGGAGACCCTGAAAACCCTCAGCTGGTTATGGACGGAGACATTTTGTTGGGAGGACTCTTCTCTTTCCACACAAGCTGGAAAGAAAGAGAGAACACCTACATGGAAAAACCTCCACCTTTGCAATGCGCTAGGTAATGTTCACCTGTATATATGTTGTGTTCAATGAATCTGGGATTGATGTAATTGCTAAGGTACATAATTATTCTATGATATATTGATTATCACACCAGCAATTTGCAACTGTGTGCATGAAGTTTGAATTTCAGAGAATTCCAGTTAGCCCAGGCTATGCTGTTCGCCATTGAGGAGATCAATAACCGATCAGAGCTGCTACCAGGCATTTCTCTGGGGTACAGGATTTATGATTCCTGTGGCTCCATTGCTAGAAGCATTCAAGGTGCACTGGGTTTGGTTAACGGGAACGAGGATGTGTCTGACACTTCAAAGGCATGCACAAAACCCGCAAATGTGCAGGCCATAATGGGAGAAGCGTCTTCATCTCCGAGTATGGCTATAGCTACTGTCATCGGACCGTTTCACATCCCACTGGTGAGCAGGGCTGACACACACAACAATAATGACAAATACTGATTCATCTCAGTTACAAGAGGCATTTGAAATGTTTTATATGTACATGTGCTTTCAGATCAGCCACTATGCCACATGTGCTTGTCTCAGTGATAAATCCAAATATCCCTCGTTTCTCAGAACAATACCCAGCGACTCCTATCAGAGCAGAGCTCTGGCCCAGTTAGTGAAGCACTTTGGATGGACTTGGGTCGGAGCTATTCGATCAAATGAAGATTATGGCAATAACGGCATGGCCATATTTACAGAAACTGCACAGCAGCTGGGTATATGTGTGGAATATTCCCTGACTTTCTTTAGAACCGATTCGTCAGACAAAATACAACGACTGATTGAAATGATCAAGGGCTCGACATCGAGGGTGGTTGTTGGTTTCCTCTCTCACATGGACATGGATGTGCTCATACAACACTTGTCGAAGTACAACTTGACCGGGTACCAGTGGGTGGGCACAGAGGCCTGGATCTTTGATTCCCAAACCGCATCCAGAGATAAGAATCGCATTCTGGACGGAGCCATAGGCCTTTTCATTCCCAAAGCGCACGTATCCGGTCTCAGAGAGTTCATGTTTGACGTGAGGCCACTAAACTCGTCCAACACCGACCTGTTCACAGAGTTCTGGGAGGGTTTGTTCAGCTGCGAGTTTAAGCCGTCGGAATCACCAGAAAAGCAGAAAGAGTGCACCGGACACGAAGATCTGACGGGAGTGGAAAACGTTTTCACTGACATGTCCCACATGTCCATCTTTAACAACATGTACAAAGGAGTGTACGCTGTGGCTCACGCACTGCACACAGTGCTGGGCTGCAATCGAACATGCGACATCAACACGAAGCTCGATCCATTAACAGTAAGTAGAGAATGCTTTGAAAGAGCAGGCGTCTGAAGCGCTCCAGCCACGGTTTGCTTGTCTCTGCAGATTTTACGCCACATAAAAAACATTCACTTCAAAACAAAGGAAGGAGATGAGGTTTATTTTAACGAGAATGGAGATCCGGCTGCAAAATACGAAGTCATAAACTGGCAGAGGAAAGAAAATGGCATTGTGGACTTTGTCACTGTGGGTCTCTACGACGCCTCACTGCCACCAGATAAACAGATGAATCTACAAAACGAGTCTTTAGTTTGGGCACAGAACTCTAAAGAGGTAACTTAAAACTGCAACTAAAAATGTCACTTTTCAATGTTCGTCCTTTTCTCTCTAGAAATGTTTTTACACTTCCTTATTCACTTTTGCCTGTTTAGGTGCCTGTGTCTGTTTGCAATGAGAGATGTCCACCAGGAACACGCAAAGTTTTACAGAAAGGGAAACCTGTGTGCTGCTATGACTGTATAAAGTGTGCAGAGGGCGAAATAAGCAACAGCACAGGTTTAGCATTGTTTAATGTGTGCTTTTTTATTTATAAAAAGTTCTTTATAGTGAATTAAATGTCTAATGTTTTAGAAAATCAACAAACTATTGATCTACTGTTTAGTATCAAGGGTGCCTGAAAAAAAATACTAATGTTTTCACATGATTATATGCTTTCGATGATCATTTTAATATTTGTACAATCCATTCATCATTAGGACTAAATAAATCAACATTTTTGAGCCACACAATTTTGTTGCAATAAACATTTTCAAGTTGTTTTAGGAAACAGTATGTTAATCTAACTGGAAAGTTTTTTCACAGCCTTGGTTCATATTTGACTTAATTTTTCCAGATTCTGTCAGCTGTGTGAGATGCCCCCTCGAATCCTGGCCGAACGAGAAGAGAGACGCTTGCATAAAGAAGGAGGCCGTGTTTCTTTCCTACGAGGAAATTATGGGAGCGTTGCTCACCGCAGCGTCTCTATTCGGAACGTGCATGACCTCTGCCGTGGCGTACATTTTTGTCACGTACAGGAACACTCCTCTTGTCAGGGCAAACAACGCTGAGCTGAGCTTCCTGCTGCTCTTCTCCTTGAAGCTTTGTTTCCTCTGCTCTCTGACCTTCATCGGCCAGCCGACTGAGTGGTCCTGCATGCTGCGCCACACATCGTTTGGCATCGCGTTTGTCCTCTGCATTTCCTGTGTCCTGGGGAAAACCATGGTGGTTTTAATGGCGTTCAAAGCCACACTTCCTGGGAGAAACTTGATGAAATGGTTTGGGCCTACGCAGCAGAGACTCAGCGTTCTTGTTTTTACTCTCGTACAAGTGATCATCTGTATCGTCTGGTTAACAACTTCTCCTCCGTTTCCATCCAAGAATTTTAAAGAATTTAAAGACAGAATAAGCTTGGAGTGCTCTCTGGGCTCTTCTGTGGGCTTCTGGGCTGTGCTGGGTTACATTGGCTTTCTTGCCACGTTGTGTTTCATTTGTGCTTTTCTGGCTCGTAAGCTGCCTGACAACTTCAACGAAGCCAAATTCATCACCTTCAGCATGCTGATATTCTGCGCCGTGTGGATCACTTTCATCCCGGCGTACGTCAGCTCTCCTGGGAAGTTCAGCGTCGCTGTAGAAATCTTTGCTATTCTTGCCTCCACCTTTGGACTGCTTATCTGTATCTTCATCCCCAAATGTTATGTCATATTAATGAAACCAGAGAAAAATACTAAAAAGAGTATGATGGGAAAGGGGGCTTGAAAACCATGTTGATAAGTCAAGACATTTTATAATTTTAAGTCTTCCAATATAATGCAAGCATTTTATATTCATATAGTTTAGTTAAAATGTCAAGGAGAGACCCTCGCAAATGTCCAAGAGAAATAAATGTGCCTTGTTGTTTGTTTTGCTTGAGAGAATCTGAAATTAATTTATCCGTCTGTTAATACTTTTAAGTAAATATTCATGTTTTTACCATTATGTTAAAACCATTTGAACGTTCTGACTGAAGAGGAAAAGCAATCGGGCTTTTTCTGTTGTTGCTCCATCGTGGAACAATCTACCTTTCTTGATTAGATCTGTCCACAGCCTGGATCAATTTAAATTGCTTCTCAAAACAAATTTTTATTCTTTGGCATTTATTTGAAGAATTTCTTTGATACTCTTTGTTTTTATCTATCTGTGTTACTGTCGTTTTTGTACAGCACTGTGGTGCAGCTTTACACCTGTTTTTAAAGTGCTATAGAAATAAATTTGACACTGACATTGTAATTCCCATTAGAAATGCTTATTTTTTCAATTGTTATGATGGTTAATAATATGATGCTAATAAAATTGAATGTCTTCCCTTTGTATTGATGTTTGAGAAAAGTAACTTCTTTTCTGAAAGAAAAAGCAATGATACTAATAAACTATATTGTGGTTACAGTCAGAA